CAAAGCCCGCCATGGAACATTTTAATAAGCGCCAAATGCAAATTTACGTTTACGCACGCTTCAGAAATTTGAATAAATTGAATTAATTTACCCAAAACATAAAACGGATATGACGTAGGCCGGGCAAGCTTTTCTTCGTTTATTTGTAGACCCCTCACGAAACGTGTTTCTGCTGGGATGTGGGTCTACACCGTAGGCTAGTGTTTTCAGGCTCGGTTGTTTTCAGGCTTGGTGTGTTTTCATGCTCGGGTGTTTTCAGGCTGGGTGTTTTCAGGCTCTGGTTTTCATGCTCGGGCGTTTTCAGGCTCGGTGTTTTCATGCTCGGGTGTTTTCAGGCTTGGTGTTTTCAGGCTCTGGTTTTCATGCTCGGGTGTTTTCAGGCTCGGTGTTTTCATGCTCGGGTGTTTTCAGGCTCGGTGTTTTCATGTTCGGTGTTTTCAGGCTTGGTGTTTTCATGTTCGGTGTTTTCAGTCTGGGTGTGTTTTCATGCTCGGTGTTTTCAGACTCGGTGTTTTCATGCTTGGGTGTTTTTGGGCTCGGTGTTTTCAGGCTCGAGTGTTTTCAGGCTCGGCGTTTTCAGGCTCGCTGTTTTCAAGCTTGGTGTTGTCAGGCTAGGTGTGTTTTTAGGCTCGGTGTTTCGGGCTCGCTGTTTTCAGGCTCGCTGCTTTCAGTCTCGGTATTCTAAGGCTCCGTGTTTTTGATGCTCGGTGTTTATAGGCTTGGTACTTTTTCAGGCTCGATGTTTTTAGGCTCTTTAGAATAGTTTTTCTTAAAAATAGTTTTTTAGAAGCTTTAGTTCCGTGATTAAGGTTATAGGTTTCAGTCTGCGTATCGCAAGCGATCGTTTGAACTGTAGTAAAGACCAGGTCAGCTCCGTATATCGATTAATTATTAAAAAGAAAATCTGATAATATACCGAGTGTCTCCAAAAAAACTGAACACTGTTTGATTTCTTGTAACGTAAAAGCTATAACCAGCGAGATACAACTGTTTGAATTTGGAATGCGTTTTAGGAATTGACGATTCCCCTTATTACGTTTTCGTAGCGCTTTGCATTGTGGTTATAGTGGTATCCAGTGATACTTATTGAGGATGATGGCTTATTTTTGTCTTGACCCGTGCAAGAACTTTTAAAAAAGCTAGGGTCAGCTGCACGATAGCCAACAGCGAAATATTCGCGAAAACATTCAATATTTTCTTTCGAGGCCGCTATCTTTATCAGTGATACCACTATAACCACATTGCAAAGCGCTACGAAAACGTAATAAAGGAATCATCAATTGGTGAAAACCCGGTCAAAATTAGCTGTTTTATGCTAGTTTTTGGCATTTTCAAAAACAGTAGTTCAACTTTTAAACATCAGTAGCGCAGTCAATATTGCATGTAAATTCAAGTGCTATATATCAAAATCTAAGTTAGGCCTTTCTGAATGCAATGATATTTATTTTATTGCGATAGCTTTTATAGCTATAACGTTACATGAAATTAAACAGTGTCCAGTTTTTTGGGGACACCTGGTACATGTTGTATTCTTTGTTTGCAATGATGTCATTTTGGGGTTTCAGTTGACGGGCAGGTATAACAAAACCCGGCTATTTTAATGTATTTATCGAGTTTAGAGACAGTTTAAGACTCAAAAGATGAAGTATCGTTCAGTTTTTCTTGCTACAACCATTCTGATAGGAGAAAAATCATCCACAAGTTGTTTGATTGCCCGTCATTTAGATTAAAAATCACATGATTGCACACAAAGAATTACGCCTGTATTCTAAAAGCTCACTCACACTGACAATCAAAGAGTGGATGTTCAATCTGAGCTTCCCTCGAGTGCCAGTGCTGTTTTTGAATAGCTGGAGGGTTAGTGTCGCACCTTACTATGTGACTACTCACCCTCCATCTATTGAAAATGCCTGTGAGATGTTGGGATCCTATAGGTAGCGGCGCTACCTGCAAGTGCCTGAAATCTGCAATCCTTGGTCAGAAGGTCTTAGGTATATATGCTTAAGTAAAGTAGGAAATTTCAAGAACTCCCTTTTCAAAAGCCAGAACTCCGTTTTCAAATACCAAAACTCCATTTTCAAATGCCAGAACTACGTTTTCAAATGCCAAAACTCAGTTTTGAAATGCCAAGAACTCCGTTTTCAAATACCAAAACTCCATTTTCAAGTGCCAGAACTACGTTTTCAAATGCCAAAACTCCGTTTTCGGCTAGATATATGAAAATTTTCGAATAATTGGGTTTGAGCAAATTAATGGACACTCAATTTTGACAATATGAAACAACTGAAAAAATTTCTTCGGTGCCTGGTCCCCTGTTGTAATTTGCTAACTGAAAATATTTTTTGGCTACCTGCAAAAAAACTAAATATACAGGCATGCTATTGAAAACAGCATTGATACTCAAGAGAAGCTCAGATTGAACCTCCACTCTTTGAGTGCGAGTGAGCTTTTAGAATACAGGCCTTAGAGTCCCACCAGGTGTGGTGTTAGTTCCATTATAGTTTAGATATAGTTAAATTGTTCACATGATGAGATGTGGTTATAAACTTCAGAGCTGTACAGATTGCTGTACTGTATATCATAATTATTAAAATGCTCAGTTTTTATTACGTGTGAGAAATTATACTGTATTCTAATATGCTTGGCAATGATAGAATTTAAACCATTTCAGCAACTGAATAACAGCTATAGATTGTTGTAGTATTTACAATTCATGTAAAAGTACAAATTGATAAAAGTTCGTGGATTAATATTAATGTTTTGTACATCAAGTGCTTGTCCCGAAACATGCAGTTATCTTTAGCAACGGGTCCAGCTATGGACGAAATTTTGATCTGGACAAAGAAGAACGAAATCCAACAGCACATCCAAAAAGAGCATCTTAAAATGAGTAAAATTGTAAAGTTTGGTTGCGAAATGTTGTAAGATGAGGAAAATATAGCTCTGTGAAGTTCGCAAATTTGGTATATATTTGCATTACGCGCGGGGAAAACATTTTTGAGCGGAAAGTGGTTATTTTTACCGCGCGTAATACAAATATATACAAAATTTGCGAACTTCGCAGGGCTATATATTTTCTTCATTTTACAACACTTCGCAACCAAACTTTGCGATTTTACTCTTTCTAGGTGTGGTGTTGGATTTCGTCCTTCTTGTCTAGATCAAAATTTCGTCCACAGCTGGAATCACCAACTGGGAACACTTTTTGATATCGGCTTGTTACAACTTGTTTGCAGATCTTTAACGACCAATGTGTGTTTTTGCGTATGCAGTTCAGTGAAGTTGGTAGTTAGAAAAGAGGTATTTCCCATTCCAACTATAAAGTTCATATTTATTTCAGATTTCCAGTTGGGTTGTGACGACGACGAATTAGATCTCATTGACAGTGAGAATGGCCAATGGTAAGTGAAGACTTGTGGTTTAATCCGGGCTAGTTTGCCAGAATAGGGAGTGTAAGCTTCGCGTTTCCGGGAACGGCAAACGTCAGGTTCGAAATTTCTTCGCCAAATTTTCGTTAAACGTTTTTGTTTCATATTTTCTTTTTTGTGTGTGTCGAAAGAATAGTCGTGCATTGCAGTTTTAAAGGTGACATGACACGAATTTTTTTATTGTCCCATCTGAAAGAATAGTCAATACTGTAAAGTAACTTCTTTTACAGATTTTCGTTTCCATTCTTCCTTGGTGAGAGAATTCAGTTTTGTTCACATGCCGATTGCAAACAAATTTACGTCACAGTTTGCATAATGAGCTACCAAATATTTGATAATTTATGTGTTTTTATCCAACATCGTCATTTGGAAAACTGCATACGTATGTTTTACATTATTCTCAGCATAACGCATGTGAATTTTCAAACAATTTAATCACTTATAAAAGTGATAACCTGACATTTAACGATAACTCATTATGCAAAGTGTGACGTAAATTTGTTTGCACTGCATATCAAGAAAAGTGAATATCCCACCAATGAAGCACGTAAACAAAATATGCAAAAGAAGTTGCTTTCCAGTTTTGACGATTCTTTCCGATGGGGCAATAAAAAATTTCGTGTCATGTCACCTTTAAAACAGCAAGTTCATTTACTCTTTTGCATGATACCGTAAAATATTTCTTTGCCTGGCGTTTGCCGTATAACTGGTGTCAAAGTAATGGGTACCCTATACATACAGGGTCAAGATAGCAAAGTTTGCACCACTTTCGCCTGTTTCGGCTCCAAAGGTCGTAGGTTCGATTCCCACCGTGGCCAGGCATATTTTTCAGGCTTGCCCGGTGTAGATACACACTCAGAGTAACATCACAAGCATCATATTCACCTGAGTACATTACACCAACACAGAAAAAAATAATACTAAAATATTCAAAATTTGCTAATTTCACAGGGCTATATTTTCTTTATTTTACAATATTGTGCAACCAAATTTGGCAATTTTACTAATTTTAGAATGTTCTTTTAAGCTACGATGATAAATTCAGGCTTGCAACTAGTTGAAGGAAATTATAAGGAAATTCGAATCTGAAGGAAATTTGAAGGAAATTTTGGAAGATTGAGGGAAATGTGAAGGAAATTGCCTTATTTCTAAAAAATCCTAAGAATACGGCAATTTCCAAGGAAATGCGCTTCAAAATATGCTGAAAATCCTGTTCTGCGAGATGCAAAATCTTAAAATTTTCTGGGGGAGGACCCCCAAACCCCCCTGGTTACTCTCCTTCGTGTTAATCTAGGTAAACTCTTTGTCTCTGCCCTTTGATAATTCAGCTCGTGCAACGTCTATGTTCCTTCTAGAACAAGAAATACCCGGTTATTCGAGATAAATAACTATAAAATCGGTTGCAAGGAAATTTTGTCAAAAATAAGGAAATTTTGAATGGTTGGAAGGAAATTATGTTTTTTGAAAATGGAAACACTGGTCATAGATTCCGTCCGTCCTTGTCTGGATCAATTAGTTTATACCTGGAATTATTCATTCCACCTTTTATTAATATTCCCTTCATTTCTGTAGTTATCTTAGGCGCAGGACGCCAGAGTCTCGCAGGGAATTCCAAAGTATCCGATTCGCAAACGTGAGTAGAAAATGTGCAAATATTTCTTTGAGTGTCTGCTTTTTGAATCGAGAATGCGGCAAGCTTATTGTTCGACAGGGTTCGTAGCGGTCTTTGAAATCTTTAAATTTGAATGCATGTCTTTTAAGCTATTTGAACAGTCTTTGAATATAAAAAGCGAAGAAAGTCTTTAAAAGCCTTTAAATTCTTTAGTGAGTATTATTTGATTATACGATTTCCTAGCCAATAAAATAGATTGATTGAAGAGCAAGGTTTTTGCAAATGTCGATGAAAATGCGCCTTTTAGGATTGTGATTTGACGGGACTAATTACCGAGTAAAAATGGTGCTTACACTCGCAATTTTTCGACAGCTGATTGCTCTCAGAGGTCTTTGAAAAGTCTTTGGAAATAGGCAGAAAAATCTTTGGATGTCTTTGAAGGTCTTGGAGACTACGAACCCTGTTCGAATTCACGATTGCATGATGTTTTGAGAATGCGTTGTTGATGGTGGTCAACGTCAGGAATGGTGAAGAAGCATCGATGAAATTGCATCTCTCATATTTAAACATTAACTACCGAAGATACAAGACTACTTCGTACAATGAAAGGATATTCACCGAGTCGCGAAAAATTGTTTTACCATATACCATAACAAAACAAAAACGACCAAAAATAACGACGAAAATCTTTTTAAAACAATTTGTATTACATGTAGTTCGCACCTTCCGTAATAGTTGTGAACAAAAGAGTATTTTAGTAATTTTATTCGTTACTTCGTATCTCGACGCATGTTAAACAAAACTTTGTGGCTTTTCTCTTTGTGCATGTTAGGCTGAACCACGTTTCGTAAAAAAAATTGCTCGTCTGTCACCGGTACGAAACGGGAAGATTTTTTGTTTTGGTCCGGAGGTGAATAGTGCAAGGATATTCGAAGCCGAGCAACCAATCAAACTGCGCGAAAAGCATTATGCACCTTCGGAGTATATGCTAATCAACATTATTTCTCACTCTGGTGATTGCCGGTTGACCATCATCTGCTTCATGATCGTGCTTTGCGAAACGTTTCCATGGCATCTGTGGTGAAGCTAGCCTGGCAACTGGTCATGCTCATAGATATCTTATATACACTAGATAGCGCATCTCTTTTAGTAAAATTGAAGCCAAGAATATTCCAGTGGTTACCCCCATTTGAATAGATGGCGGCCATGTTGGAGTTTCCCACTCGCTAATAAACGCTGAAAAAAACCCAACAATAACATCATTTGAATTGTTTGAAAATGTATTTGGAATAGGTTTAACTTAATGTTTAAGTTCCCTGTTTAAGAAATATAAAACATACGAGTCTTCTCATTTCATGGGAATATCCTGAGTCTGCAATCACGGCTTCAATTTTTGAATTGCAGAATAATTAGATGCGCTATCTAGTGTATATAAGATATCTATGGTCATGCTATACTAATAAACCTGTATCTAAATAAGTCAAAGACAACACATTTCTGAAGGTTTGAATAATACAAATCATTAAAAAGGTTGCATAGCATGACCTGTTGTTATGGCTAGCTTTGCCGCCGCTTCTACATAGCATAGATAGTATAGAGAGCTTATGATGTGGTAAATCCAGTACGCGGACAACAAACACACCCTTCGCAGTGTCAGCAACGGAAGAAGTTATTTCGCTGGCCTCAGAATGAAATTTCTTCAAAACTTTTCTTCAAGATTGGTTTAGAAACAAACTTGGAGTAGGGTTAGGTTAGGGTTAGGATCAGTGTTAGAATCAGGGTTAGAATCAGGGTTAGGATCAGGGTTAGGATCAGGGTTAGGATCAGGGTTAGGATCAGGGTTAGGATCAGGGTTAGGGTTAGAGTTGGTGTTTGGATCTGGTTATTCGAAGTTAATACTCCATCAACATCCGTAAGTGCTGCAGGGCCGGTTGTTCAAAGCTGGATTGTGTATTTCTGTACGTCTGTTTCTTTCAAAACTTCAGAGAAGAAAACTCCTACTGATCCAGACAAGATTTGCAAAGAAATGTTCCCAAATTTATACACAACTTGTTGGGAAGTTTTGCTTTGAATTTTAGGTTAACCTAGGGTTAGCTTATCGGCTTTCGAACAACCGACCCCTGAGCTGTGAGGCAGAGTATTGTTTTATAATGTGAAGCATACTGGAGAGCACATCAGCTTTGTGGATCAAGAAACAGGACGAGATAGATCCTTATGAAGACAGTTTCAATGGAAGACTAAATATTAGAAACTAATAGATAGCAGAGTTCTTATAATCTCCTGCATGGTTCTTGCATATAGCATAATGACTACTTTCGGTATTTTTTCTCCCATACTAATTTCCACAAGATAGAACTGTCAGTATGATTTTCAATGCGATTACATTAGTTATTCAGTATTCCTAGTCCTTACCGCGTTTCCCAGCTTGTGTTTTGTTTGCATCAACAACAATCTACTGCAGAATGGAATTGAGGAATATTGAAACGTCACATTCTCGTTGATACAAAGAAATCTGTAAATTGTGCAAAGCCTCTGCTCGAAACGTATCCAGTAGTTCAGACACAAACCACAGCTGTTTCTCCAAGGCTTTTCCGTACAATGCAATGAGAATGTATTCTTGATTTTTTTCGGTCGCCATAAAACAAAGTGTTTGGGAATGAAGCAATAGACTTGATTTAGAAAACACGACGCGAACTGAAAGACGAAGAAAAATTCTTCATGCAAAACAAAAAGTTTGAATCATTTGTAGTCCCAGGGGTATCCTCAACAACGTTGTTATTCTGAATACAACGTTAAACTGAGATTTTCACGTCATTGGAGCAATTCGTGAATGCTTGATGCGACGTTGGAGTAAAATCTGTCGTAGGGCAGATTTCTCCCGAGCTTAGCCGTTTGTAAGGTTATTTAAAAAGATCCAATTTATTACAGTAATCAAGTTCCTTAGCTCGCAGTCCTGAGCTGAAGTGGATGATAGTAGGTATAGACTAAATTTTGATTTGGGCAAGAAGAACAAAATCCATCACCACAGCTGGAAACAGCATGTTAAAATGAGTAAAATTCTTGGAAACAGCATGTTAAAATGGTGCATTTTCCCGTGCGTAATACAAAATTTGCAAATTTCGCAGGGCTATATTTTCCTCATTTTACAACATTTCGCAACCAAACTTTGCAATTTTACTCATTTTAACACGCTCTTTCCAGCTGTGGTGATGGATTTTGTTCTTCTTGCCTAGATCAAAATTTAGTCCATATAGCTGGAATCATCCGTTGAGTCAATTTTTTTTTAAACTCGGGCACAATCCGAAAAAGTCGGGCAAATTTCTTTCCGCCCCCCTAATTTTTGCCTTCCGTGCGCCCATGCATTGAGATCGCGTCGTCGCGTTTTCCTCGTCGTTTTTTCTAAATCTGTCCATTGCCTGCATGTAAACGACTGTCGTCTTCACATTTTCACAGGTTTGCCGGGCCGGCGGTAGACGACGTGTTGTTGGTGTAAGACCAGCAGCCTCGAATCAGGAGCCGAATTCTCTCCGAAAGAGATCTCGACGTTGCCCAGTACCTGATAACCTTAGGACTCCTCAATCAGATCCTGCTCATCGGCCAACACCAAACCAACAGGTGCGAAACAACCGAAACAACAGTCAATTAGGCGAGTCTTCCAACTTACCCGCTAACCAAAGTCAGCCACTCGCTACAGACTTTGTTGAGACAACTAGTTCGTCCGTTGTACCCAACCAGGACAAAGGACAGCTGTTGGGTTCTGGTGAGCCAATCCATTCTTCTGCTCATTCCAATTCAACCAACGAGAGTAAATTGGTAACAAGTCTTGCTGAGCCAGTATTAAGTAACCAGAGTTGCGACGAACCATTGGCGCCAAAACCATCATCCCAACCTGAGGAGCCTTTAATTAGTGTTATCAATAGTCAAACATCGCCATCCGAATCTGAAAAAGCTTTTATTAGCCTTGTTCCGTTGACTACTGGTGTAGCCCAGAGCTTCGAACCATTGGATACATTATCATCATCTCAGCCTGAGGTACCTTTAATTAGTGTCATCAATAGTCAAACATCGCCATCCGAATCTGAAAAGGCTTTTATTAGCCTTGTTCCGTTGACTACTGGTGTAGCCCAGAGCTTCGAACCATTGGATACAGTATCATCATCTCAACCTGAAGAGCCTTTAATCAGTGTCATCAATAGTCAAACATCGCCATCCGAATCTGAAAAGGCTTTTATTAGCCTTGTTCCGTTGACTACTGGTGTAGCCCAGAGCTTCGAACCATTGGATACAGTATCATCATCTCAACCTGAAGAGCCTTTAATCAGTGTCATCAATAGTCAAACATCGCCATCCGAATCTGAAAAGGCTTTTATTAGCCTTGTTCCGTTGACTACTGGTGTAGCCCAGAGCTTCGAACCATTGGATACAGTATCATCATCTCAACCTGAAGAGCCTTTAATCAGTGTCATCAATAGTCAAACATCGCCATCCGAATCTGAAAAGGCTTTTATTAGCCTTGTTCCGTTGACTACTGGTGTAGCCCAGAGCTTCGAACCATTGGATACAGTATCATCATCTCAACCTGAAGAGCCTTTAATCAGTGTCATCAATAGTCAAACATCGCCATCCGAATCTGAAAAGGCTTTTATTAGCCTTGTTCCGTTGACTACTGGTGTAGCCCAGAGCTTCGAACCATTGGATACAGTATCATCATCTCAACCTGAAGAGCCTTTAATCAGTGTCATCAATAGTCAAACATCGCCATCCGAATCTGAAAAGGCTTTTATTAGCCTTGTTCCGTTGACTACTGGTGTAGCCCAGAGCTTCGAACCATT